TCTTTATAGCAGCTTCCCGGGGTAAGTTCCATTTGGGGGAAGGTTGGACCGGACCGGGATGGTGTCCGGTTGCGGGTCGCGATTGGCTTTCCAGTTGCGGTTCAGGTTCAAAAGTCCACGAAAATGGTCCGATGGGCCGTAATTTCTATGGCACGAATATATTTCGTGTTGGGAAATTCAACAAAATTCTTGAAATTAAAGCTTTAATTCAAATATTCTTTCAATTCCTTGAAAAATGCAGACCTTTTGGTAAACAACTTGAACTTCTCGTCCTTTTTTTCCATCACAAATGTATAATAATTGAAAATGTCGAAAATTATTAGGAGTGAGTCCCACGTTAATTAATTAATTAGTGAAAAATCATGAATTTATAAGTGAGGAATACTATCTCCATTGTTATAAGACCGGAGAACTCCAAATCAAAACCATAAAAACTTATAGACAATATTATATGATTATGGAGTGCGGTGGAAATTAGAAAGAAAATAAAATAATTTTTTATCCACAAACAAAATAAAAAAAAAACAATTAATAATTAAACTAAAAAGGTGGCATTTAAGTAATGAAAAATCACGAGCCACGCATTCCGAGCTCATTAAAAGAGGAAGCTGCAGAAGGTGGGCCTTAGACTGCCAAAAACGGGCCGGGCTTTATTAATCGAACTGCAAAAGTCGACCCGGTCCATGACCAGTCGTAAAGCCGTACACTTTTTTTTCATATTTATTATTGGAATAAAAATCGTGTAGTACAATAAAAGGGGAAAAAGAAAATTAAAATTTACCCTAACTTAGTAAGCTGCAATAAATCTCTCCTTAAATTTCTCATTTCGTCATACCGTACCATTTTTTTTTTAATTAAAACATTCCATAAACAATAACACGTTTTTTTTTTAACCATTCAAAATAAATTTTTTAATTTAAAATTATATAAAAAAAATTGTAGGGTGAAATTGAAAATTTTAAATTATAATAAAAATCGATAATATAATATGGTCATCAGTAAAAACAAGTAGCGTCCAAGTGTACGTAGGAATCCGTCGTTAGGTCTATATAAAACGTGGGCCCCACTGCACATTTAACAAAGGTCATCTAATCTGACCATCCAGTATTGAGGATCTAACGGTGGAGATTTAGAGAGAGATGACTCAGATGTTCGTTCCGTACAAGACAGCTCCCTCTCCCCCTTTTTTTCTCCCGCACGTACGTAATCCACACGGGTGCTCCTTCCTTCTTTCACCCCTAATTTACCCCTACCCTATCTCTCTTTTCATTTTTCCTATTTTACCCCTACCCTCCTCCTTAAATTTTATATAAAATTGCATTGATTAAAATCTTTAAAATAAAGATTAATAGAAAATTTTCTTCTAGACATGTAATAAATTCCCAAGAGATCACCGGCATAGAGTTAGTCGATCTTATTCTTTAGATACCGTCATTACTTCTTCTTCGAGTTCATGACCCATAGGCCTCCTATCTCCCCACGACATTTGTGATGTCCCACATTGGTTGGGGAGGAGAACAAACCACCATTCTATAAGGATGTGAAAACCTTCCCCTAGCATACGCGTTTTAAAGCCTTGAGGGGAAGCTCGAAAGGAAAAGCCCAAAGAGGACAATATCTGCTAGCGGAAGCCAGACACCAAACGATGTGCTAGCCTTCTCACTATTCCCCGAAGGGGGGTAGACATGTGGCATGTGCCAGTAAGGACGCTGGGCCTCAAAGGGGAATGGATTTTTGGGGGGCGATCCCACATCAATTGGAGGGAGGAAAGAGTGTCAGCGAGGACGCTGGTCCCGAAGGGGGGTGGATTGTGATGTCCAACATTGGTTGGGGAGGAGAACAAACCACAATTTATAAGGGTGTAGAAACCTTCCCCTAGCAGACACGTTTTAAAGCGAGGGAAAGCCCAAATAGGATAATATCTAATAGCGGTGGATCTAGGCCATTACAACATTGTTCCATCAGGCTTTCACCCATTGCCGAAAATTCCTCACTACTCCTCTTGTAGGAGTATGGGTCTTGTCTCAGTTCTAGTGTGGCTAATCATACTCTTGGATCAGCTACTGATCATCACCTTAGTAAGTTATTGACTCACCAACTAGCTAATTTAGGAGAAGGGGCAAAAAGGTAATTTAGGAGAAAAGGGTTGATGAGAGAGAGCGGCAGTGACGCTGGGAAGGCCCCAGCAGCAGCAGGTTAAGCCAGACAATAAGACAAACCCCATTACAATCTTTTTGGGCTCTATGTATTTGACTTCAAATAATACTCTCTAAAATAGAAATAAATAAATTAATTAATTTAAAAAAAAAAAATGAAACGATAAGAGAGAAGCAGAGGAATTCAGAAAGGCAGCATGCAGCGGCAGAGGCCGAAGCAGAGGAGCAGGTTGGTTTACTCCCCGCCCCCCGCCCCCCGCCCCCCTTCCTCTCTATTCCTACACAACAAAATCTCCTGCAGCGCTTCCGATCTCTGAATGGGAGGGTCACACCGCCACTCCAATCATTGCAACTTCTCCTTACTTCTAACCCTCCTCCTCGCCTTCGCCGCCGTCTTCTTCCACTCCGCCGCTGCGGAAACCCAGCGGTGGTGGCTTGGGACACCTCTTGGACCGGGTTCGTCGCCGCCAACTTGCCGATCCAAGTGTGGGAGATGCTGGCCGTGTCAACCGGTTCATGTTCCAATTCAACCGGGTATGAGTGTGCCATTGGAGTACTACCCCGAAGCTTGGAGATGCAAATGTGGGAATAAGCTCTTCATGCCTTAGGCCAAATTCAGCAACGCCAAGAAATAGTAATTTTCTTTTATTTTTAGACTAAAATAAATTTTTAAAAAAATGCTGTTTTTATGTGTATATATTGATCTTCTGGTTGGTTATTATTGTTGGTGGTGTTGGTATGAATGAAACTAAGCTGAGAATTAATTTAATGCATCTTTGAACATTATATTAATTTCATGGGTTTGTAATTTAAAAATAAAAAAGTTTAGCAATTAGTTGATAATTAGAGGTCACGTGTAATTTTTGTGAAGAACAGAGTATGAACAGTAAAAAAAGAAGTACAGATTTAAAAAATGTAAAAAAAAATATAAATAAAAAACAAAAAGCTGATTCAAAACAGTGATTCAGCTCAATTATATAAAGAAAAACCAAAATAAATTTTCAATATAAAGCAATATTGAAATTTGGTGGCTTTTTGCATTGGAAAATGTTAAAGGAGAGAATTGGAAATTAATTTTTATTTATTTATTTATTCTTCACTCTCTATTGTTTTCAACAAACGTCGCCGTTTTACAATAAAAGATTAACAAATATTTTAAAGTATTTAAAATTAATTTTTTTTGTGACTCAATCCGTGAAAATTAAATATACCAAAAGAAAAGAACGAAAAATCTCCGTGTTTTAGAATCTTGAGGAAAAGTCCAGTCTAAATAGAATAGTATCAATTAGGGGTGGATTTAGATTGTTACATGATATTATTTTGTTTCAATAGCGAGGGTTTAAATGCAAATTCTCAAACTTTACGGTCTTAAACATGAAAAAGGACAAAAAAGTGTTACATTTTTCAATTAAATGGAAGTTTGGGGGTCGGTTTGAGAGAAAGGGGATGTTTTGTTTAGTAATAGAATGTGTATATGTGAAATGAAATTGATGTAAAATGGGGAATGGGTAAGTTTGTAAATAAAACTTTGGGAGTGATGTGTGAAATGAAAAAGAGTAAATTTGCAGGGGCAATTATGAAAAAGTGTAAAAGAAGAAGGGTATATCAGCATAATATCAGTACACACAACCACAGAACCCCTACACTCTTTTGTTACCGCTTTTGTGGGTGACAAAACCTTTATGCTTCTCAATCACCACTTTTGCCTCTATTAATTTAGCTAAAATAAATAATAATAAAAAAATGAAAAGGTACTATTTTAATTCATAATTTAATTTCAAACTTTAAAAAAAAATCTAACAAATAGATTACATAATTTAATTCTTTTTAGGTTGATATAAAATATTTCACTTTTGTATGAGTTAAACCTCGTCACGGGTAGATATTCTCCGTTTTGGCCCATTATGTATTGTCGTCCGCCTCACAGTTTTAGAAGCGTTTACTATGTAGAAGTTTTCACGTCATTATAAAGAATGTTTGGTTCCACTCTCCAACGAAGGTAGGATCTCGCAATCCACCTCTATTAGAGACCTAGCATCCTCGCTGGCACACATGCTTGATGTTTGGCTATGATACCATTTGTAACCGTCTAAGCCCACCACTAATAGACCCTTAAGTATTGTAGTTAGCCTAATGTATATTAAAATCGTGATACGTAATACATCAAAACGAATAATATCTAATTGTGATAGACTTGAACGGTTACGAAAACCCAATCCAACCCAGGGTACAGTTATACAATAATTTTAATTTTATTATAATTTGAAAATATATTTATGTATATTGGGACATAATTTATTATTATTAATTTAATGAAGTGACATTAATATTTGGGGTTAGAGAGGGGACAAAATGGGACTGATACCAGGAGGACTGGAGCGTCATTTTCTATTCGGTAATGATATTTTAAAAAATTACTTTTTTAAAAAAATAATAAAAAAAAAGTTGAGAAAAAACAATGAAAGCGGGGAAATGTTAGTTGGAGATAAAAGGGAACAGAGTTGTCGTTCAGAATCTCTAAAACGTCATGTCGTTCTGAGCAATCCCCTGAAAAAAACTACATTCCACTACAATCCTCTTTTTTTTTTCTTTTTCTTTTTTAATTTCAATTACGTGGCTCTGCTTTTTTATTTCCCTCTTTTATTATTTATTAAATCTGAATTTTAAATTCTTTGGGCCCATTCTCATTTGGGCTCCCGACAATATTTGGGCCTATCTAAGCCCAAGCCCAACCTTCATGGTTGATTTGTACTAGCATGCGTTAAGAAAAGTTGCAACGGTCGGGTGGTTAAAGTCGAACATTAAACCATTAAAAACAATTTTGAAAAAACAAGAAGGAAAAAAAAAAAAGCTTATAATTTACAATTTGTGTTCCCCGTTCAAACAGGTTGATCTTGGAACATACAAGTCCTTTCAGCCGCCATTACAAGAAGCTTGGCAACTCCCTGTGTCCACATGTCATACTCTCTCTGGTTTCTGCACTCGAATTCCACCACCCCTCGCATCAGTGTCTTCAGCCCGAAGTAGCGGCGGTCGTCGCCGCCCTCCAGCAGGTGCCGCCCTGCCCATGCCGGAATATCTTTCACTACATCCACCACCACATCTATGCAAGGAATCCAATTAACTTAAATATTCACAATATTCGGAATATGATAATTAATTAATTAATGAACAAAACTTACTCTTTTTCTTTTTGGTTATAGCCCCAGCCACGTGCCTGCTCTTCATCTTCAACACAACCTGTAACAAAGGAATATAAAATTAAAATTAAATTTTTTAAAAATTAAAATTTCCCATTTTTTTCATCAAACAAATTCACATTTTAGAAATTTTATAAAAAAAAAAAAAAAAAAAAAACCTGATTTGATCGGTTGATATAAACAGAGACAATTTTCCAATGAAGGTCGTCTGTAATACGAGGATTAGTGGTGGTTTGTTAAAACAAAATTAAAAAAATTAATTAATTAAAAATTTGATGAATTGAGAAAAGGTAAACATACCACTACGAGTACGTTTAAGAAGCTCACAGCCATCAGCGAGCAATCGTACGGTGACGAAATTATCTTCATGTTGAATTGGATGGTTTGATTCACAGTCACGTAGAAGATCAAAGTCGTGATGAATCGGGTGAGGGTCGCCGCTAAATTTTTGACTTTCAAAAATATTCACAGTACCATGGCTGCTGGATGCTCCGATCCCTCTCTCCGTCGGGTTTATAGCCGCCGCATTCCACACTTCCTTCATGCCCCTCGATTTAAGTGTTGCAGCTCCTTTTAATGCTACAAAATTCACAACACGCGTGTTATTTTTCCCAGAAATTAAAATATGTAATAGGCTGCTACTACAACCTGTTGAAGCGGCGGCGGTGAGTGTCATAATATCGCCGGCGGACTTGACATTGACGGCGGAGCTTATAACAGAGGCAAGGTGATCGTGTTCTGCTCCCATGGCTTCAGCGGCCTCCACGCATTGAGCGGCGACCAATGTGGCGGCAGAGGCCAAAGCCATATCGGTCTTCGGGATATCTTTCCCGTCATTTCCGCCTTGGGAACTTGCAGAGGCGGAGGCAATGGCGGCGATGGCAGCAGCCACCCCTGCAACAGAAACAGCAGCATGAAGCTGAGCATTCTGTACCCTGTTTTCTTCTTTTCTCCTCTCCTTCCGCTCCTTCAACCACCGTCCGACCGTCTTTCCGCCGCCGATAACGGCGGCGTTGGACCCATTCACCGTGGAGGTACTCAAAGTATAGTTGGTGCGGTAAAGCTGCATGGAATTTTGCCGATTCATGCTTTTGAGAAATTTGGAGGAGATGGGTTTTTGTCAAATTGATCAATCATTGAGATTATCATTAGTTGAAACGAATCGAATTGGTCCCATTAATTGTCGCCGGAAAGCCCTGTTTCTCGGAAACCCCTCTTGTTTTGGATGAACAATTCAAACCATTGGAATTGGATGGTCAATACTTAACCAATTCCGGTGATGGTCAACTGCAACTCTAATTCCTAATTAAACCAAAAAAAAAAAAAAAAAAAACTATATTTCCCCAAATTCCAAAGTTTTTGATGTCATATTTAGTATTTTGTAAAACTGTCAAAAATGGTTTCTTTTAATATCCAACGACGTTTTTCGTCTAAAAATGGAACAATCGATGACTGTTCGAAGAGCTGAAGTAGTGACTAACTAAGAGAAAAACAAACCTTGGTGTCGTGGTCGGCAATTTCAACCGCCGCTGTGGGCGGCGTTTAGTGAGTCGCTGCTGTGCCGCAGCCTGCCGGATGTCCGAGGAGACACATCCTGCTAGAAGAACACGATCGAATCTTCGTCGGAACAGAGTCAATCAAACTTTACAAGAAGACACAAAGTTACCAAAAGGGTTCATAAATACCAAAAGCCCCTCCACCTCGCCGCCGGTCCGAATCTTGGAACTGACGGACTCCGAGGGCAATCGAGAGGGACGTCGGAGGACAGCCTGGACGTGTCGGAGGAGCAAAACTAATTCTATTGAGGCCCAAAGCAAGCCTTCTTCGAGCCCAGGCCCAAACTATTGATAGTCCATCCTCATTATGGGCTTTCTACAAGGCCTTTAGTTTGGAACAATATATATATATATATGTATATAGGTGGTGGCGGTGGGTGGCGGTGGGTGGCGGAGTGGCAAAAAAACATGGAAACGTGAAGGAGATCCGACACTACCAATTTTATTCAGTGCTGACGCGACACTTCTCCCATCCCCATTTTCTTCTAACTTCTTTTGTTTTTTTCTAACATAAATAAATAAATAAAAATCTCCTATTTATTTATTTATTATTATTATAAATAAAATATCAGCTTCAATTTTCGAAACAGTCAACAAACTTCATAATATGGTGCTTGAAAATTAATGAAATATAATGTTTTCTTTGTAATGAGAAAAAATATATTAAAAAAGAGTTTGTATTTATATTTGTATTTTTCTCGTTTTATTTTGATAAATATTTAAAAATTTTCATATTTGATTAAGTCAGATAAAAAAATAAACATATGACGGTGAGAGGATTGGAAGAATTCTTAAACCATATAAAATGACAGTTAAATTTAACGAATTAGTATACTCTCAAAGTATAAATATCTTAATTAGAGATATAAAAGTAAAACGGAGTATTTTTATAAATATTATATAAATACAAGGTGGGTTTTGGAAAAAATAAATAAGAGACAATAATTTTTTTAGAAGTTCCTTATTTTGTTTTTTTAATATTAAAAAAACACTTTAGACACCAATTGATCAATTAAATAATACACGTCCATTTAATTTCCATTTCCAAAAAAGGAAGAAAAAAAAGGTCAATTTTGTTTCCATGCCTCTTTGATATCATGACTTTGGTCGCATTTATCACTTTCCAAATTAATTAATTAATATAAATATAAATAAAATTCCCAAAGAATAATAAATAAATACAAATCAATTTATTTTTTTCAAGAAAAGGAGAACAATAAAATAATTTAATTATGCCCTAATTAATGGCCTTAATTTAATCCTGCACATGGAAATATATTTGCTTTGTTTTTAAACAAGCCCCATGTGGAGAGCCACCTAAGCATTATATAAAAGACATAATAATCGAATCTACACAAATTATTTATTTATTTATTTATTTTGTTTTTTAATTCAGGTTCCAATGAATATTACTAAAACACGATGAAAATTCAAATTCGTACATATTTATATAAATTATAAATATTTGGTTTAAAAAACAATTCATTTGTTATAATTTCTTATTATAAATATTTTTTATATATATTTTATATTTTTTTTAATGAATATTCACAAAGGAGATGAAATAATGAAAATTGCTTCCCAATGGCAAAACGTAAGTTTAGAGGGGGAAGTACTTATGTAGCAAGCCATGTGAATGCCAACTAATTGTTATTTGATTTTTTAATAAATAGGAAATGTAATTAATAACAATATAAATATTATATTTAACGTTTATTATAAATAGTAAATATATTTGGAGTATATTGTAATGTATAAATGTTTAATATTTGAGTTTTATTAAAATTTAATTATGAATACGTGTTATTTTGAATAAATAAGAATTTTTCAATAATTGGAAGAAAAAAAACAAATTGACAAAAAAGAAATAATAAATAATAAGTAAAAATCAATGTAATAGATGTTACAAAGGAATGTCAAAGCATCTCCTTTGACTTTATCTCATAAAAGCCACTTTGACCAATTTCAATCCAGCTGGCACTTATTTTACATGCAAATTATAAGTTTGCCACGTGGCCTTCTATTTTTTTCACCTTATGTAAAAGTGAAAAACAAAAGTCTAATTTATGACGTCAAAATATCAAAGTTGAATTTAGGCTTTATTTATCCGCAAATTATTGTTTTTTTTTACGTCATAAAATCATCATACAAAGTAGTGATGGGCAGCACGTGACTCGTTGGAGTATTTCACAAGAGTGGCCATGTTATTTGAAGCTTCACCTTCAACCCTTTTTCATTATAAAAAAATTTAATTATGTTTTTATGCAAAATTGTCACAAAAATGAAAATATAAATAAATTAATACAATTTATAGTCGAGATTTAGACTCGTTAGTGAGATCATATCAGTAACAAAAAGACCTGTCACAAAAGACATTCGGAGCAGAAGTCGATCCTTCCCTGCCATAATAGCACCACATAGCTTCACAACATAGCTTCAACATCTCTTTGGGTAGGTCGTTTTTTTTTTCTTCAGAAACCCTTTAGAAAAAATGCATTTGCTTTCCCTCGACGTTCTAGTATCCAAACCAACAAAAAAGTACACATTAGAGATGAAAAAAAGATAGATGTTCAGTGGTGACTAATGGTTTACTCAACATCGGTGACAGTTGGAGTGGCTCGTTCTTCCTTTAGTGTTTTGAATATCGTTCACGATGATCAACCAAGTTGAAATACAGATCTGATCGCACCCTTAACTAAATATTTTTTAAAATAATTTAACAAATAATGATCTAATATGTTAATTATCTACAACTTTAATATGAGTAAGGCATATGAATATCTTAGTTTAATATAACAAATATAGAATAAATAAATGGATAATCACCGTTTAGGAAAAATAAAATAAAATATCTATCAATACGACAGAACATTACAAAAAGAAGAACATCATCGTTGGTATAGTTCAGAATCTGTCACAGAGGGAGCTTTCCACTCTGTTTCTTAACTCAAATCTCGCTCACTTCCATCATTTTCTGTAAATTTAATGACTCCAACCAAGCAACACAACAGACAAATGATTCACACACACCGCCATTTTCATCTCAAGATCTTCCCTTTACTTCCAGAGATCTCCAGTTTTTAGTCCGCCGGAGTTTGTTTCCAAATGGGTAAGGCTGGAAAATGGCTCAAGAAATTCCTCTCCGGCAAGAAGTTCCATAAAGAACATTCCCAAATCGCCAATCCGATTTCTCCCATTTCCTCTGAAAACCCCACCACTCCGATTTCGACTCCTAAAGATAAGAAGCGATGGAGTTTCCGGCGAGGCTCGCCGACCAAGGAAGTGAATCCACCGGAGCTGAATGTTTCCACCGCTGTAACCCCAACGGCGACAACTACCTTCGACATGGAAAAGGAACAGGAAAAACACACAATGGCGTTGGCGGCTGCGACGGCCGTCGCAGTCGCTGCCGCCCAAGCTGCCGCTGCCGTGATTCGTCTGACCGCAGCTTCAAATGGGAAAGCCACTGCAATTGAAGAAGCTGCTGCAATTAAGATCCAATCTGTTTTCAGATCTTATCTGGTACATACACAAATCTCAAAATTAACACCAAATTTACAATACCCAAATCGAAATTCAAAGCAATTTTGTTGTGATTGAAACTGCAGGCGAGAAAGGCTCTATATGCATTGAAAGGATTGGTGAAATTACAAGCGATGGTCAGAGGCCATTTAGTAAGAAAAAGAGCCACTGATACTCTGCGGTGTATGCAAGCTTTAGTGACGGCGCAAGACAGAGCACGAACACAGAGGATCAAAATGGCTGAAGATTCGAAGCCCACTGCTCAACAATGGCACTCGGCACATAGAAAATCCTTCCAAGAAACTCGTTTAAGACAACCCCATCAAGTAATTTCGAATCACTATGTTGGGTTGTGATAAAAATTGGATCTTGTTCATAATTTTTCAGCGATACGGTATGACTCTGTTTTTGCTCTGTTTTTGTTCTTCTTTTTGCAGGAGATTGACAGAGAAATGGAAGAGAATATAAAGATCGTGGAGATGGATTTAGGGGGCAGCATAAAGAATCGCAATAGCTACAGCCATTACGCGTATTCGAATCAAGAAAGCTACCGTCTTTCGCCGACGCCATCTGCGATGGCGGATATAAGCCCGAGAACTTTCAGTGGCCATTACGATGATTACGCCTTCGGAACAGCTCAAAACAGTCCCCAATGCTTCTCCGCTAGGGCGAAAACCGATTTAAATCGACTCCCATTTGAATTCCCCCGATCAGAATACGGAGAATCATTGTCTTATGAGTACCAATTGTTCCCAAATTACATGGCGAACACGGAGTCATCGAAGGCGAAAGTGCGGTCACAAAGCGCGCCAAAAGCCCGGCCGGAGTCGCTCGAGAGGCAGCCAAGCCGAAGGAGAGTATCAGTAGAGGGGAGGAACATTCCAAGAGCGGTGAAAATGCAACGGTCGTCGTCGCATTTGGGCGCTGCAACACATGGCACCGGTTACCCTCCATGGCCGATCAAGCTCGACCGGTCGACCGTGTCGCTCAAGGACAGCGAATGTGGTTC